TATCGAATATCGAAGACGTTCCATAGAAGATTTTGTAAGGGGGGTCCGGTCTCCAGGCAATCGTTAAGTGATGGTACTTTAGGGTTGCGCGTGCTGAAGCATCGTAACTATTCGTGTCTTCGTCGTTTCGGCAGATTCGCGGACGACAGCTTGTGAGGGATGTAAAATTCTTTGCCTTTGGCGTCGTTTTCCACACGTTCTACTATCCCTTGCTCCAGCTGGTCTCTGATAATCTTGTCATACTGTTCTAAAGTATCTTGTTTCTCTAGTTTGCGTACTAAGTTGTAAAGACGAGTCAGGCTTCCTGCTTTGTTATTCGGGAGTGGAAGGTGATTTCCTTTCCAAGGAAGGCTAGTCTCGTACCACCCCCAGGATTTCTGGTCAACTGCTCCTTGAACTCTTCGTACACGATTTCTTGGTCGCCGGTTGCAGAGTCTTTTAGCCCTAGCAAGTCTAGTCTACAAAGTTGATCGTAATCTGGAAAGGCAGTTTGCGTCGATAACATTTGGGTTAGGTAGATTTCTTTGCTGGGGGAAAGGATTGTCCAGCCAAATCTCGTTAATTCGGCTACAGGTTCGTTGGGACGTCCTAACTTCGGTTTGGTCTCGGTCTTAATTCGGGCGTACTCGCTTGCACCCAGAATTAGGTGCACTGGAAGTTCCGGTTTCTCGTCGTTGTCATGCATTTTTACTCCGTTTAAATGTGGAAATTTAGCTAAAGTTTCTCGGTACCGGGGATTTTTCAATGTTAATAACTCATTACGGTCCACTTTTGTGACTTCAGTATCTAATTTAAAGTCTCCTTCGAGATTGTTGACGGACAAATTATGAACGCTAATTACTTTGCTGACTGATCCTAACATCATTTCAATGCTCTTGAATTCCTTTCTAATTGGTTTGGCATGGATTAAATCGATTAGGGTTGATGACGCGTAAGAGCTTCCCGCCCCAGTGTCCAGTAATGCGCGACATGTTACGCCATGAACTTTCACAATAACTACAGGGTACGTAACCATTGCATTCCCCGCACTTGAGGCTGTCAACAAAACATTCGAGTTGTCACTTTCGTTATCGCCGCGATTATCACAGATGCTTGTGTGATGGCGTCGATTACATTTTTGGCATGCCGTGCGTGATTTACATTCCGATGCTTTGTGATTGGGTCGAGCGCAATTAAAACATAGCTGCTTTGTACTAAGTAACTTTTTTCTATCGACTGTTCGTTCAAATTTCTTACAGTCAACAGATCTGTGATCGGTTCCGTCACAATATACGCATGCTCTAGGATTTCTTACTTCACGGTCTTCTTGCCTGGTATTGAAATTCCTCTCTCGCTTGAAAGGAAACTGCGGGTGTTTTGTGACATGCTTCTCGCTAGACGCCGCTTTGATGGGGTTGCGCTCCGTCCATTTTCTCAAAGCCTCTACTAGTTGTGGGAATTTCCACTGCTGCCAGTCATCGTCCATACGAACAAGGTCCCCTCTTATTCCCTCTAGCTTGTCGATTGTGGCCCTGACATAACCGTTCACTTCACTTATTTTGCCTAGGGTTTCCAAAGACTGTACATTGTACATTAATGTCTCGTAAAATTCATGTATTTTCGATGGCTGGCAGCCGTGAATATTAGGCAATGACATGATAGTTTGAATATAACTATTTACTATTTCACTAGATTTGCCATACCTTGTTTGGAGAATGTTTCTTGCTCTCTCGTAGCCCTCGATTGTAAAGGGTAGGCCTTGAATTGCAATTCTCACCTTTGGCACGACCAATTCCTTGAGATATGTAAACTTGGTCACTGCTGGGATGTCTGCTGCTTGGATCTCGGCTTCGAACTGGTTCCAAAACCGCAACCAATCTTTATATGTGCCATCAAACTTAGTATTTCCAGCTTTTGCAGTCTCACGTTGGGTTTTTTCGGTCCGCTCTCGCTCGGCTTTTTCGCTTGTTCTTCGACTATTTTCTTCTCGTAATATAGTTTTAACTCTAGTGTCTCTTTGTCGTATTTAAGTTTCTCTTGGTACTCTTCGTCTCTGACTTGAGCGGCCAAGTTCTCCTTTCGACGCAGTTCTTTTCCTTTCGTAGTTGTAATTACCGTCTCTAACTCAGAGATCGCCTCCTCGATAGGTACTATATCGTTCGCTTTTGTTTCGTCTGTCCATGCGCGAACCTCTTCTGGTTTAACGCCTTCTCTCAGTTTTGCCTCTTGAATACGCAACTTTAAATCATGCACTTCTTGCAATTTGTCGTCCAATGTTTTACGTTGTCGTTCTAACTCGCTGATTTTAGCTTTTGTTATTATCCCATTTGTATCTTCGTTTATATCATCCGTATTTTATCTTGATCTCATTACTGCATATTTCTCAATGCCCTGCTATATATAAATGTTCAACAATTAAAAGTTCAAATTCGATTACTTAATATATAATGTCTATCAACTAATTATTGAAAACCTAACAACTTTCCAACAGGGGGCTTGAGGTAATCTGATCGCATTACGTTGGCTGAACTGCTGCAACGCGGAAGTTGATTATTTGCTGCTAGTATAATATGATCGATCTCTTGGTTTGTTATGCGTTTTTGTTTTTTTTAGGCAATTTTCATTTCCAAAATGCCCGCTTATTTCTTTTTTTCGACACAAAATGATATCTTTTAGATTTTAGCCGGATCGACTTTTTTTGTCCCATTCAGGTTCCGGGACCGACTTTTTTGATACATTTCGAAAAACATGGGGGGGGGGGAGCGTCACCCCCCCCCCCCCTAATGTGCGCCTCTGTATCTGGTGTAGCTGAACTGCAAACACAGTTGCACAATTTCACAATTCGATTGAAGTATGATGCCTGGTAGGTGGATGTATTGCAGCAGGGAGTCTTGAGTATGAGGTTTGGATTGTTGCTGTGACGGGTTCGGTTGTGAGGAACAAAAGAAACATAGTTGTGGACATCAAGATTGGTTATACCATAATGGGCTTTGTAGAAAAAAAATCAGATCTCTCATCTCTCGATCATAACACAACGGCAATTATTTCAATTTTGTCAAACGTTCACTGTAGCTGGAATCGCCTTTACGTTGTCTCAACATCCATCTGGTCGCTCCCAGATGGATGTGTGGAGCCTAAACCTCGTTGGCATAGCATAGCTGGGATTTAACGAGGGATAGATACAGGGTGCGACGAACTCTGACATCAGTAAGGAGGCGGCATGTTCTTCGAAGTAATTCCAACAGTTTTCCAGTCATAATTACCCCCAAGATCTTTTTCTTCTTGAACGTGATGGAGGTTGGTTGAGCCAAGGTGGTAAGCAAAGGTGGTGGGTTTCTTTTTGCGGGACACAGTTAACACTTTGCATTTAGTTGGTTGAATTTGATGTTATTGGTGTTGCTCCATGGGGTTAGGTGTGTTAAGGTTATTTTTCGGAAAGTCTTCGCATCGTCGGCATACAAGACAGCATCTGAGTCTTCGGGAAGGAATGATGTTCGGTAAATCGTTTATAAATAAGACGAACAACGGAGGGCCGAGTATGCTTCCTTGAGGCACGCCGGACCTAAAAGAAGACCAACTTGAGGTAACATCATCAATGACAACTCTTTGTGTCCTGTCAGTTAAGTAGTCTTTGAACCATTCAAGAATGCGTCCACACACACCAAGTTGCTTGAGTTTCGCCAAGATTATACCATGGTCAACAGAGTCAAAGGCTTTTGCGAAATCTAAATAAATTATGTCAATTTGTATGTTCTTATCAAGATTTTCTCCAATCTTGTGAAGAACCTGTAGCTATTGTGTTATACATGATTGGTTACGCAGAAATCCATGTTGACTGAGGGAAATATAGCTAATTACATGTCCGTAAAGTTGTTTGCATACAAAACGTTCCAAAAGAGATATTGGCCGGCAAAAGAGATGTTGGCCGGTAATTTTTTACTGGTTCTTTCAAGCCTTTTTCGTGAACTGGTGTCACGTTAGCTGCTTTCCACTCAACGGGCAGTCGTCCAACACGTAAAGATAAATTAAACAATTCACAAAGATCGACTTGGTGCAATACTACAACTACATTCTTTAAGAATGCGTGGTGGTATTCCGTCCGGGCCACAGGTTTTTGTCGCATCTAAATTTCTAAGGTAGAATTCGACTTCCTGCACACTCACTTGCAATTCACCAATGTTCGTCACATTTGTGAAATCTTCATATTTATCCTCATCTCCATTGATATCAACACTGGGTTTTGTAAACACCGAGATAAAGTATAGATTAAGAAGCTCAGCTTTCTTAGCTGGTGATTTTGCCGTAACGCCATTGTACGTGATATTGGTTAGTAAGAGCAGGATCTATATTACGTTTTTGAAGGTTCGTTATAAGTATATTGTGGTCTATGCGATCAAATCCTTTGGAGAAGTCGGTAAAAAAAATCCGGGCTGAATTCTCTCCTTTGTCAATTGCTTCATAAATGGGTTGAAGGAAGCTTATTAATGCATCCGTTGTTGACAGGCCTTTACGAGCAAACTGGTATTTATCAATATTTATATGTGTTTGACGTAGAGGTCTGGTTACCAATCACGTCTCAACGTCAGTCTTATGACGTTTAGAGCAATTGGTAACCGGCGTCCATGTGAAAAACAAATATGCAGCACAGTATCGAACATTCAAGCCTAACTTTTTTCGCCATGCCAGGGATTGCCATTCGCCGAATCACGCGTGAAAACTGCTGTGAAATGCTTTGTAGGCAGGGACGTAGCGAAGCATCTGAAGTTGGGGTTGGGGGTGTCGGAAGATTTTACCTGAAATTTGAACTTCAATCTTAAAAATTTACCTGAAGTGTAATAATTATAATAGAGCTTTTCCTGATTGATTTCCACTGTCATACTTATAAGTCTCCGAAGAATAGGGGGGTCCGGGGTCAGAATAGTTTCACAGTTTTGAAGCTCCAGGACTATATTTCGGGCGTTTTCTAAAGCAAATTCGCAAACGAATTGGATCTAAATTGACTGTTTTTACAAAAAAAGGTTATCATTTCACAAAAATAACGACTTTATTACGCAAACTTTACCTGAAAATGTCAAAATTTAAACTTGAATTTTACCTGACCTTTACCTGAGTTTCACAGTTGGGGGGGTTACACCCCCTGCACACACACACACCCCGGTCGCTTCGTTCCTGTTTGCAGGTAATCCACTGTGGTAATCCACAAAAAATTTGTTAATTGTTCTGAATATAGTACTAAGTAAGAGTTAATTACCGAGAACGAGGTTTCTTAGCGAGATACAACCCGAGGGGCGTGACCCGAAGAAAGCGTCCCGAAGGCCGTAGGCCCGAGGGACGCTTTCTGAGGGCTACGCTCCCGAGGGATGTATCTCGCTAAGAAACCGACGTTCGAGGTAATTAACTCACTTAGTTCAAATTTGTAAGGATTGAAAAACAATTAAATCTACTTTTTTGTCGAAAATACTTGCATTGAATTAAGAGAATAACGATTGTTACCATGGGGTCCATATGAAAATGAGATTGAAACGTGAACTACCTATGTAGCGACGAAAAAAATGCTTCCAGGCAACCGGAATCAGATGAAAATGTAGGCTTATGGAAAGAGAATTTTTGCAAGCAAATGACGAACCATTGGGATTTGCAGAGATAAAGAGTCTTGAAAAACGCGTATTGAGCGTATACCGAATATACTGTAGACACAAGACCCAACACCATCTGGGCAGTTCGATCGTATTTGGAAAGAGTGGGCCGAAGGTAGAAGCGCTATATATAACGAACAATATGTGTATGGGTTTGTCGAAGCAAAGATTCTAAATTTGTTTTCAATAGGGTTTTATTTGGGTAAGAATCTAAAAGCAAGTGGAGGGAATTTGACATCTCTATAGGGAAAAGGGGGGTTGATGAATAGAATTCAATTGAATTGATGATTAAATATTCACTAGGTTTTATCTAAGTATATAAAACCTGATTTTTGCGGGTTTTATATATATATAACCCGCAAAAATCCGGGTTTTATATAGATAAAACCCGGTGTATATTTAATCGTCAATCCAATTCAATTCTATTTATCAACTCCGCTTTTCCCTGGAGAGATATCAAATCCCTCCCCTTGCTTTCAGATTCTTACCCAAATAAAACCCTATTAAGAACAATAGAAATCCGCACAAATTTGAACTAATAGTGATGGGTTCTACAATTGAGCAGATGTGATGAAATAACTTGCAATACTCTACCAACGAAAAGTTATATATTATTATATTTGGCTGGGTGATTGGTAGCTGATGGGTTGTTACCCATTCTAATAACAAGTATATTGTTCAAGTACACTGTGCACTGTTCAACCGATCTTTAAATATTGGTCGAAGTGGAAATCAGCTAACGTGACACCCATCCACAAAGAGGATTTAAAAGAACTTGCAGAAAACTATAGACCGATTTCGTTATTGCCAATTCTGGAAAGATCATGAAACGCTGCATTTGTAACAAATTCTACGGTCATTTCAAACAGCTCGTTACCAAGTTACAACATGGGTTTTTACGAGATCGCTCGTGTGTCACACAGCTTCTTTCAGTTCCACACTCAATCGGACAATGCCTTGATAAGAACGTCCAACACTCCTGGTATAGAAGCGATAAACGCTCTAGGCTGGGAGCCTCTTGAAACTCGACGAGCCAAATCTAAAGTTAAAACAAATGTACAAAGTTCTAAATTATTTGACTTCAAGTTCGCTCGCTACTCTTTTCGTACACAAAAAAAACCATAACAGAATTTGATCTTAGGGGATCCCTCTACTTCACTACAAATACCTCTGCCAAAAACTGAAAACCTCAAGAAAAGCTTCTGTTACGATGGAGCTAAACTGTGGAACTCATTATCTGTACATAATTGTTTTGTAGGTATTTGTAGTATAGCGCGTGTAGTATTTTGTTATATAATATCATGTATTCCACACGCCCCTCGTGGAAATCAGCATATAGTTGACGGGGCCAGCGTGTGATTTTTTAAATAAAGTCTTACCTACCTACCTGCCTGCTTTATACGCAGATGATACAAAGTTGTACAGAAGCATCGTATCAGTGGCTGACTGCGAAGATCAACAGCAAGCTCTTACTAACCTTGATACATGGACAGTGTCAATAACCTTAAATTTAATGCATCTAAATGCTGTTGACCGTGACAAGAAAGAGAAGCCCAATATCTCAATCTCTTGGGACACTCATATCAACGTTATCGTCGCTGAATCGAACAAGCTGCTGGGTTTACTGAAGAGAACTTGTTTCTTGTTGACGGACGTATAAATTTAGACGTACGCTGTATCTGTCACTCGGCAATCTTGTAACCAGTAGAAGATAATTTTTAGATTTTTTATAATTGATGTGTGTATGTAATTTATAACTGTCTTATTACTAATATGAATTTTTCTGTGTTGGTGTAGTGTACTCAGGTGAATATGATATTTGTGGTGTTACTCTGAGTGTATATCCACACCGGGCGAGCTTGAAAAATATGCCCGGGCACGGTGGGATTCGAACCTACGACCTTTGCAATACTAGCCCAATGCTCTTCCAACTGAGCTACGCGGTCAGGACGGTTCGAGTAAGTGATATTTCGGAACAGAATCTAGTTCCTTCGATACCAATGTATTCTAGTAATATGAATTTTTCTGTGTTGGTGTAGTGTACTCAGGTGAATATGATATTTGTGGTGTTACTCTGAGTGTATATCCACACCGGAAATACGGAAAGAAGCGTTGAAATTTTGAGACGGTCTCTAATGTGCTCATTCTGTGTCTAGGTATTGGTTCCCTGAATTTCCGCGAATACATCGCTCGTCATTTCTGGGCTAGTATTCCAAAGGTCGTAGGTTCGAATCCCACCGTGGCCGGGCATATTTTTCAAGCTCGCCCGGTGTGGATATACACTCAGAGTAACACCACAAATATCATATTCACCTGAGTACACTACACCAACACAGAAAAATTCATATTACTAGAATACATTGGTATCGAAGGAACTAGATTCTGTTCCGAAATATCACTTACTCGAACCGTCCTGACCGCGTAGCTCAGTTGGAAGAGCATTGGGCTAGTATTCCAAAGGTCGTAGGTTGGAATCCCACCGTGGCCGGGCATATGTCTTATTACTCTTATAATAGTTACATTATCTATGTACTGAAGATTTTACCCAACCTCGTACCCAGGGCTAGTCGCGAATTGAAGGCGGCGACGTACCCCTGGTAAACGCTGGTCACGTGACCCCAACATTACGTAATTGTTACTTTTCTCAACCGGGGGTGAATAGGTGAAACTCGAAGACAAACAGTTTTTATCTCCGAAATTCTTCAATCTTCCCTGTGAATTTTGCAGTTCAAGCTTTTCTCAAAGTACGGCGATCGATCAAATGGATCAATACTTTCTGTAGAAAAAACTCAGTGAGATTTGTTCGTATGAGACGTTTAAAAGACTTGGATATGTCGCACAGGTTTATGGTTTAGTATTTTGTTCAGTTTGTTGCGACTTGCGAAGCAAATGAATGCAAATTCAACTCTTGTATAATGACTAAAAGTTGGTTTGTAGAGGGACAACTTATACAAAAGATATGAATACATTAGCTTCAAACTAGGGGCAAGTTTATGGACATCCCTAATATATGGACATTGATATTTCACCAATATGTAAATATGACTATTAAATGTATAAAAGGATTGCTGTTGTTTTACTTGTATATGTATATGTACAAATATTATACCTCACAATGAGCTTGTCCAATCAGAGAACTAAATTTGTCCACATGACCATAGTATTTTTCAGCAAATACTATGACCTAGGCAATTTGAACCCTGGGTGTTTTACCCGGGGCCATGGTATTCGACTTCGAATACCACGCTTGAGCGGGAAATTCGACTTTAAATGTAAACTTTAAATGTAAAGTTATCAAAAGTTGTGTTTTGAAATTAAAAGTTAATTGAATGGTATTTGTTTTCTACTTATTTTTGAAAGGTTCGGTATAATATACCATTTATAGACCTTTCACTCGGGGTATTCCACAAAAAATTACCCTGCGGGATGAAATATTCCTCGGGCTTCGCCCTCGGAATATTTCATCCCTCAGGGTAATTTTTTGTGGAATACCCCTCGTTTCAGGTCTATAACTGATAAGTGTTGTGCTGTGGTATTTACGTTTTTAACCCTTTAAGGGGCATACCCCCCCCATGGACTAGAATTTCTGAGGGGGTTGAAAAAGCCGTTTCTGAGGGGTTGTGTGCATCGGCGCCTCCTTTGACCTTTGCATTTTTTTCTGAGGGATAAGGCAAAAATTTCTGGTGTGTGTGTGTTGGCACTTTGATCTTTTTTCTTGGGGGTGTGTGTACATCGTCCATAGGGGTGTGTACATTGAATGGAATGGCCCAATGCACCCAGATGCACCCTACTTTGTTAGTTTACTCTGTATAACACCAGACAATTTTACTCATCAGGTGGAGAGTGCATGGCGCCACTCAATGGGTTAACATAGTCGATGAACATGCCAAATGATCCTTGACCGTGGTAGTACATTTTTGCACTTGCTGGATGATATTGCAACCAAGCATTGTTTCAGAGGAAGAGCCCTGAGATCATGCTGTGTAGCAATTGGAATCTTGCATAGAGCCTGCTCTCACATAAAGCAGGCAAGACCTTCACTCAGAAGCCAGTCCTGATTAATATTAATTCCCCACATAAACACTTGGAAACCAGACTGTCCCATCTGCCATATGCAGGACAAAAAACATGCAGCCTGGACTTTAACTGTTAAACAACTAAATTAGCATGATAAACAGTGCGATGATTTTTGCTTAGCACAAACCAAAGCCAGTTTTCTAGAATTAATTTGCAGAATCCTGAGAATTGGACTGCCAACTTGAAGAGCTAGCTGTGCTAACCAAGTTGCATGGGCAACCCTGAATTGATGTGACTAGAGCAAATCTTCAAAAAATAATAGAGAGATCAGATTTGACTTCCACTGCTGCTATTGCTATCATTAAAGTTATAACCAGATAAGTTTCATTTATCCAATCAAACAATCAGATGTAACTGCCAGATCAAGTAGTGGTAGTGGAAGTTAAATTTGAACCTTTCTATATGGATTTCAGAGAGACCAGTCATTATTTGCTGATATATTATTATAACTTGTTTAATCAAAAGCTACTATATATTCATTTATGATATTAAAAATTGATATAATTTTATCTAAGTGAGAATAATTTTAAAAAAATATTCATAACATAAAATGATTCATGCATGCTGGTGATTGAATAAACCATGAAGTGTGCATTCTGAATCTCTACAAGTTCCTCAAGTGACATTTTTCCAGTACAGTGTAAAACTATATATATAAATGTGACACAGGTTGCAGGTATTAGGTTGCATGTCCACCAGTGTGCTGAAATACCATCCAGTGACCCGGTCTGGTTCATTGTTACTTGCATCTTGCTTAATTCAACTGTTTTCGCCCCATTTCTTGTACCCGTAAAGTTCTTTTCAATAATCTAGAAAACTTCAAAATCATTCAGTAAATTTAATTTTAAAATTGGGTGAAAGGTAAGGGGTCAATAATAGATGAAGAAATCATTTCTTATTGTTCATACATATGGCCCCCATCTCTGTCGGGTATTAGAGTAGAAATTTATTGAAGCCTGAAGTTAGAAAATAAATATGGCAACAAGGTTACACGCTATACTGCAGAGTTAGGCAATTTTTTTAAAGATCTCAAGGGCACAAAAGGTATAAATATAGATTGTAGGGGCAAGGGAACAAAATAATGAAATTTTGAGATTCAGGGGCAGGTTTTACAATGGGGTGCTAAAACTTTTCCCTAAAAAAATCCCTGACCAGCTGGAGTGCTGAAACTGATGTTTGACTATTGAAATATCCTAGCAGGTTAGGTTCATCAGATTTTAGCTTTGTCAACCTGGCCACTCTGTTATTACAGTAATGCCTCATTTAAATAATTTCAGGTCATTACTGTATAAATGTAAATACAAAGTATTTGAAGTTTATACTGCTGTAAAATGTAGTTTAATAATACTGTATTAAAGTGTAAACACGTTTCTCGCAGCGATAAATCAATATTGTATTAAAATAATAATCATGTGAGAGTAGAACTTTACTGAGAGTCCGAGTATAGTATTATAGGCCATAGTCTGGCCATGTGTTTCTCAATATTGACAATACATAATAAACTACAATTGTACAAATTCAGCTAACTATATTAACATACTGTATAAAATATATTACAGTAAATAGCCCTCGAAATATATATTTCATAGAGCTAGACAGTGTAACAAATAATGGGAATCTGCTAAATAATTTGTAACAATGAAATACATTTTCAAATTCATATATACTGTACCTTTTTATACTTGATGGAAATCATCACAAATAGTATGTACGAGATTGGCTCCATTTTCACTGCTTCGAAATTCGAAACATCGCCTCCTCAGGCGATTTACATGATGCGATATAAAAGAAGATTGATGTACATTCGACGTAATATATAAACGTAACATATTAAGAAGAAAGATTACAACAAAAAATAAAAGAATATAAATAATCCGCGGCAATTCAAGTTCCATTCGTGAACTTTTCGTCGCCCCCCTGTCTTTATTTCCACAAAGCCCGCTCGCAGGCTAATACTCCAAGAATCTTGGAGTATTGGCCTGACACGTGACCAGCGTTTACCAGGGCTACATCGCCGCCTTCAATTCGCGACTAGCCCTGGGTACGAGGTTGGATTTTTCCGTGTTTAAATAAATTTGTGTTGATTGATTGATTGATTGATTGATTGATTGATTGATTGATTGATTGTCACTCGTTAAATCACAAGTCAGCTACGCCACAGCAGTTTGGTCTCCAGTCAATATACATTTCAAATCAAAGGTTGAGAAAATTGAAAGAATTTTTGGATTCTGAAATCCAAACAAGGGGAGATACCTTACCAACAGAGGCTGATAGCTCTTAACCTGCTGCCATTATGTTACGACAGGGAAATTAAAGACTTGGTATTTTTCTACAAGGCGCCGATTTGAAGGCTTATCATTTTGTTTCTTTTGTCAATACCTAACTCTTAAAGTTCCTTTTGGTAAAACCAGAACATTGCAAGCGTCCTACTTTAATCCAACAGTAAAACTATGGAACACAACCTGTAAAATACTTCATGCGTCCTAATTTAAATAATCAAATTTTTGATGTTGATCAAAGTAGTAATGTATGCGGTTTTCGACCCTTATTTTCAGGGCGGCGCAGGGGTGGCGCATCATTAAAAATTCAGGGCGGCGCATCATTAAAAATTCAGGGCGGCGCATCATCATTAGCATAGAGTGAGGTGGTGGATCTTGTGTGGGGTGTGTTCACTTAATATATGCATGACGTCACGCGGGCGAGCTTAAACAAGATCGGACAAAACTTGCTGACTAGACATTTTTTAGCGTCCCTCCACGTGTGTGATACAATAGAGGGATTAATGTTGGCTTGCTATGCGTTGCTGCTAGGTACAGAAACATCTTGAGAAATGTCCGTATTTTTTGATAAATTTTAAAACATTTGATCCAAGCACAACTTTTATCGAATTGAGAGTCATGAACTACAATGTAATCTTGAACTATTTGTGGTATTGGGAACAAGAAGACCCATTAGAGTTGATTGCTGCAGCATTATTTAGCAAACCTGCTACATACATATTTTTACTGTTAAAATGAACGATTCAAGCGTCTAATAATAAGAAAGCTTATCAAGAACTCCTGGAGAAAAAACTTTTAGAACAGTTGTAATATATTTTGCAATAAAAAATAAATATGTTTTTATCAAATATGCGGTCGTAATATACGTTGTTATGTGTTGCTAAGTCATTAGGTAGCGTATAGGTAATTAAGCGATTAGGCGAACAAAAAAATTGCATAACTAAGTGTATCCCAATGGATAGATAGGGATTATTTATAACACCGGTGTATGCCTTAAAATCGGGCGCGAGGCTTTGCGGTTAAAAGTTTGCACAAGACTTCAGTTTTAAAATATATTTATATCTTCAAAACGTTTTACAAAATTTAGTACGGTCTACTTCTAAGAGCGTAACGTCTAGGTGTTTTTGTTATTTTTAAAGAGTTCTCATATTCTTGTCTATCTTCTGGGGATAACTTTGCAAGTTTCTCCGGCTTCATTGGAATATATTTTGGTCTGTCGCTCATTATAAAGTGTTCATAATCCTCTCTTGCTTCCGGAGTCATTCGTCCTAGGTCACGTTCGGTCCAATCTGCTGGGTCGACCCAATTGTGGAAAAAGTTGCGCTTGAGTTTTGGTCGTTCTTCTTCTGTTGATGGTGGCATAAGGAAATTTCTCCGACTTCACAGTCGTCTGCTCAAACACCGCTTTATTCACCTATTTTATGGTCTTATATTTGTCCATTTTTGGTGCAAACTCCACTCCACCTGCCTTGCTGATAGACATACCATAGGAACATAACTCGCAGAAACCAATGACATGCGAAGATAATATAGGCGACTGTTCATCACATATCATACATTGAGCATCTTTGCCATGGTAGAAATCTTTCCACGAACATCTTGGACACTTCATTGAGTATACAATGTGACCAGTCTCTTTTCCGCAATGGTTACAAGCTAGTTTTTCGGACTCATCAGATTCATCATCATCCTCATTATCATCACCATCATCATCGTCATATTCGCCTTCATTATCATTGTCACTCTTATCAGATTTCCTGTCCACTTCACCGGATTCGCTTTCAACATCACTCTCAGATTGCGGCATTTCGTACTCTTGTCTGTCTTTTCAGGTGTTAATCTTGCAACATCTTCATGCTTCATTGGAATATATTTCGATCTCTTGCGAAGTAATCTTTGTTCGTAGCCTTGTCTTTGTTCAGGGGTCATCGTTGCCACATCTTGGGGCCTCCAATCTGTAGAGTCTACCCAATTGTGAAAAAAAGTTGCGCTTGAGTTTTGGTCGTTCCTCTTCTGTTGGTGGTGGTGTAAGGAAATTTGGTTTAGGAGTAGCAGGCACTGGTGATGGTATTCCCGCTTGTACAGGAGTAGGAGGCACTTGAATAAGAGAAACCGATTTAGTTGATCAGAATATAATTTGCTTTTTTCTTTAATTCTCTGTTCGGCATCATACATTACATTTACAAGCGGCGGTTGACGATACGACTGCTTTTGTATAAACTTTGCAATCTCGCCGGGAAGTACGTTGGTCTTGAGTCGATTTTGATCGTTTGTTGTTGGCTTTAAATCCAACATCAAGTGCCATGAGGTCGGCTCGTGGCATCTTCGTAACTCCTCATAAACGTTTGCACTCTCCCAGGATTTATTTGCCTTGCAAGCATAGAAATTTGCTTAGCAACACATAACAACGTATATAACGACCGCATATTTGATAAAAACATATTTATTTTTTATGGCAAAATATATTACAACTGTTCTAAAAGTTTTTCTCCAAGAGTTCTTGATAAGCTTTCTTATGATCAGACGCTTGAATCGTTCATCTTAACAGTAAAAATATGTATGTAGGAGGTTTGCTAAATAATGCTGCAGCAATCAACTCTAATGGGTCTTCTTGTTCCCTATACCACAAATAGTTCAAGATACATTGTAGTTCACGACTCTCAATTCGATAAAAGACTGTACTTGGATCAAATGTTTTAAAATTTATCAAAAAATACGGACATATCTCAAGATGTTTCTGTACCTAGCAGCAACGCATAGCAAGTCAACATTAATCCCTCTATTGTATCACACACGTGGAGGGACGCTAAAAATGTCTAGTCAGCAAGTTTTGTCCGATCTTGTTTAAGCTCGCCCGCGTGATATCATGCATATATTAAGTGAACACACCCCACATGAGATCCACCACCTCACTCTACGCTAATGATGATGCGCTGCCCTGAATTTTTAATGTGCGCCGCCCCTGCGCTGCCCTGAAAATAAGGGTCGAAAACCACATACATTACTACTGATCAATCGTGTACATGGACACTCGTGCGTGGTTGCTCCTGTCATTGGACATAAACTTACTTTTTTTATTTTTATGGGAAGTGCCCCGCATGGGACTTGGAGTCTCGTTCGAACTTTTCCCATTTGAGTTCTTTGTTGCCGTTGTCGTTGTCGTTGTCGTTGTCGTTGTCGTTGTCGTTGTCGTTGTCGTTGTTTGTTGTTGTTGTTGTTATTTTAGAATTAGAGTATCTTTGTCTAATTATTTGTTAGTATAATTATTGTAAATATAGTTCTTAATAACCCAATAAAGTTCTTTAAAAGATATAAATAAAAAAAAGTATAGCTTTAACTACTGACATGTAATTTAGATTGTTTGGCGAAGTAAAGCAGTGAATGCAATGTTTTAAAGTTAATATTTCATATATTTCAATTGTCAAACCCTGTGGACAAACCAAATATGTGTGGATTATTACACAAATATTTAACAGTAATTTGAAATGGACCTTACTGTTTATTCAATTTCGACCCAATGCCCTCATTTTCTTTCGGGATAAGAATAAGCTTGTGGTATGTTTGGTTGTCAAGGGGGTATAACCAAGTGTGCAAATGAAGTTGGTGTGCGCTTGCTATGCTAAATCAGGGAAACATAGAATAAGGCTACTTGATCAAAAGAGAATAAACAGCAAGGTCTTTTTTAGTTTATAGAACAGTATAATAAAAACAGAATATCAACTTCAAATATGTACAAGTTTATAATATCAAACACCTATTTAAATAGAAGAACAAGTTGTCAAATCTCCTGAAAATTCTTCTTAAACTAAAAAGATCGTAAATGCTTTGATCTTACCTTGAATAAATGACAGGAAGATATAATTTTTAAAATTCGCAATATTTGCTAAATACTTTCCAACTTGTAAGTTTCGCCCTCGTGCTAAATCTTGGCAAGTCCCGAAGAGCAGCCGGTAGTTCCTTTAAATACGCGTCGAATCTTCTACGTCACAAAACGTCATAGAACTGAACATCCAAACATTACTCAAATCATTGTCCCATTCATATAGCTCGGTAAGAGGTCTGGGAACAAATCACAAGAATAGGGAGCTGTCTTGCGGCAGCAATAAGATTTAAATGGACTTCAAATTTTCCGTGCGTATACCTACGGATGAAAAACGCGTAACTGGATTGCCGCTCTATATAAGAATAATCACACATTAATTGTATCCAACGACTGAGTATCCTAAGATTGAATTTTAAACCAAAGCCACTACCAACAATCTATGACGATATACATTGAGACAATCTAATTTTAACATATAGTATGCACATTCACATGTATATTATACCATTTTTGTCAGGGGCGAAACTAGCCCCTTTTAATTAGGGGGGTGTCTGGCAGGATTGCCCTGCCAAAACCAGTGATGCCCTGCCAAAAAGTACCAAAAAATTTTTTCCGGAAAAATTATTTTGGCGACCTCCCCCCCCCACCCACCCCCCCGTCGCCAAAAAAATTTCGGTCTGTGTACCATTTTAGGGGTCAAAAAAATTTTCCGGACAACCTATATTTTTCGGAACATAACACAAATTTTCGAAAAATCACACAATTTGCGAAAAAATTTACTTAATTTTAGATAAAATTGACTGAATTTGTCCCTTTTTTTTTTCAAACCAAAATTGCCCGACTGTTGATCGAATATTGCCCCCGCCCGGTACGCCTATGTGCTATCATTTATTTATAAGAGACCTTTGATTGCCCTGCCAATCGGGATGATTCGTATTTTGGGGGGTGTAACACCCCCCCATACCCCCCCTCAAGTTTCGCCCCTGGTTTGTTGCCGCCTGGTGAACAAACATTGGTTTTGTGGGTGAATTTACAATATTATATTTACAATAGGCAATTCCAGCTTTTAGTTTATACCTGCAGGGGGTGATGGGAAGTAAGGTATCATATTGCTGATTATGCTGAAAATTTCAATAAAAACTGCCGAAACAACCAAGAAATGTCAATATTTACAAGTATAAGCTGTCACTCCGTGTTTACACGTACGGTCGCCATTTCTATTTTTCAGCATAATCAGCAATATGATACATTACTCCCCATCACCCCCTGCAGGCATAAACTAAAAGCTGGAATTGCCTACTATTTACAATTTCAGGACGTCTCTGAAAACCACGTCAATTGATACGAGCTTCCTGATTAACTATTATTATCATCATCATATGTCCCATTGATTTCGGCTAAGATTGTATATAAACCTACAACATAGACATGCCTGTATTTCGCGCAAAAATTATTCCACCAAAATTTTTAAATGTAAATAGCTAACTTTTGATTTTTACAAAATTTCCAAGATTACAATGATGAAATGAAAAATATTGATTTTACCTCCGAATTGCAACGTCTCGAAGAAGAGAATGCTTTTCTAAAAACAATCAATGAATTCATCGACGAATGTAACTCAAGCACTCTAGAAACAAACACAAGGCCCATACTAGATTTGCAGCTCCATAAGAAGACAAAGCCACTACGACAAGAGAAGGGTAAGATAAACTAAAAAAAAATATACTCATTTAATGCAAACTCGTCGCCCCGATAACACATGACTGGCAGTGGCGGCACCAGGCTCAGAATTTTTTTTTCGGGGGGGGGAGCATTTGAGGGGCAAACTCATATTTTTGGGGGGGCAAGATAGAATTTTAAAAAGGTCCTGCTATTTGCCCATGCCGTTGTCACAGGACTTTCGCCCCCCCAAGAGATTCGCCCTTAAAAGGGGAGCGAATATTCTAGGAATAACGCCCCAGGGGGCGAATACACTAGGAATATCGCTCCCCTTTAAGATATTCGCCCCCCCCCATATATGCGACGTGGTTTATTCCAATAATTTCGTGATACTTTCATCTTATTAGTGCCTTACACGTTTCAGAATTTAACTCAAGCAAAACTAAAGCTTTTTTTGTCTTTTTTGAAACGTTTTTTTTAGTATTGGCAAGTTTTACCATTCAGAGATTTTTCAGACCGGTTCCAAATAATTTTTTTGAGGGGGGGGGCAAAACGGGGATCAGAAAATAATTGGGGGGGATTTGCCCCCCTCTTGCCCCCTCCCCCCCTTGGCGCCGCCACTGATGACTGGAGAAATTTATCTGTTGATAGTTCTAAAGCGTAATAAATATTCGTGCATGGATATATTAGTTGCCTCACCTTTTACAAATAAAATTTTTCAGTTACCCAACCATTTTCTCTTTTTTCTCCATCTATGATAATTTATTTCCAATCCAACCAATCATATTCTCTGAAATTCGTGTGCGTGATGGAGTGTGAGTAATAGCTATAAATATACTTTATTACTGTTGTAGTTCATAGAGTAGCTCGAGAATTCAAACTTTTGAAAAATTGGCAGTTTAAATTACTTTTGGAGTAAATAAAACAGAATTTACACCGGCAATGTCGGTTTGGTACATTAGTATGTGATACAATTCACTAGAACAAAACATTTTGACTTGATAAACAATTTAAATGCTGTTACTCAACACTGACTATTTTTACTTATTAATAATGAACGGAACTCAAAAATATATTTATATCAATAGGAAGACAATACCATCTTAGGTCCAAAGTCCAAACATTAAATAAATTTCAAAATCATACAAAATATGACCAGCTACAGCGAATATATGTTTCAAAATTGCAACGGCTGAACAGTATAAACGTTTACAAATTGACAATAACAAACTCTTAACTAAGTCACAATACAAGCTAAATTGCACTGTATAATTTGTAGTCTGCTGTAAAACTCATAATAACCGATAAAAGCAACGTTTGTAGATCGAGTAGTAAGTTTCATAAATACATAAAGCGACATGTATTTAATAGGATGACTTGTCAAGGCAGATATCCAATGAGAAAACATGCCAAAACATCTCAACGATTTCCAGCTGTTCAGTGTTTAGTTCAAAACCCAAATTCACAGTTATTGAAAGCGTATAAACATTGGCATTGGGTCACAGTGATTTATGCGTATTTTGGCATACATTATGATTTCAACCAATAGCATTTTTGAGTCCGCTCACGGCCCCAAAATACCAAATTTCCTTGAGATTGTTGCAGGCCCATATTTAATGGGCCTGCCACATAGACTAGTCCCCATCCTGACCATAAATGATGATCAGAACTGTTGAACATCTCCCATAAACTTCTCCCATACCTAAAACAAGTTTAATCCAAAATAAGTTTATTTCTTTCGCTTTTCTGCACAGACGATGCTATATATGATGACGCAGATAAGTACGAGAAGCAAAGCGAAAAACTACAAGAGCAAGCTGCATTAGAAAGCGAAATCGGGCGACTTACTCAAGAAATACAGCACGCAAAGGAAGAGAATCATAATTTGATGAAACAAACCCAGGTACTTCAAAAGAAAAATACTGAACTTACAACAAATATTCGACTGCTTCAAAAAAAAAATGATGACACTTGTGAAGAGAACGAGAACTTAAAAACAATTAATCAGCTCCTTCAAGATGATAACAAAAGTGTGCAAGACATGAGGAATGAAATTCAGCAACTTCGACTAGAAAACAACAACATGAATAGGGAAATACAGAAAGTTCAAGAAGAAAATAACAACATGCATAGTGACATGCGAGAACTTCAGCAAGAAAACAATGAGCTGAAGGAAATTCAGCAAACTGAAGAAAATGCTATGGATAGCCTCATTACAGAAAGTGGATCAGTAGTAGTTTCACGTGAAGAACTAGGTAGAGGTGCCTTTGCTGCTGTTTACACGGGAGACTATTATGGAACTAAAGTAGCAGTTAAAGAATTTCACGAAGTCATTTTATCTCCACATAACGAGGAAATCCTTAAACGCGAAATATATATTACATCGCAATGTCGCCACCCTAATTTACTACAGTTTATCTGTGCAACGAGGAGTGATCGACATTGTCTGTTGATTGTAACAGAACTGATGGATATGGCTTTGCGTACATTACTCGAGCAACATGCAAGAGAAAGATTGCAGTTCGAATATCAGAAAGTTAAATCAATTTCCTTAGACGTAGCACGTGGCCTCAATTATCTTCATTCAAAAACGTCAAACCCAATTATCCATCGTGATGTAAGCAGTGCCAACGTATTGTTATGGATTGAAAATGGCGCAGTAAGAAGAGCGAAAGTATCAGATTATGGTTCAGCTAATTTCATGGAAGCTTGCAATACAGCGAATCCTGGAGCAGCGCTTTACGCTGCACCTGAAGCCAGCCGAGGTCAACAAGGCCCAAAGGTAATTATAATTAAAAGTATTTGCAAGATCCAGTAAGACAACAGTCTAACTTCTGAATCAAAATAGCACAATCAATTGCCATGAATTTATTTTGTTCAACACTCTAATGTGGATGCAAAGTCCGAACAGGTTTAAATAATAAAAAAATCCAGACTAAACCAAGGGCTTAATACAATTTTGGCACAACTTTCAACTTTGTGCAGTTTTTCATTTCTTCGAAAAACGCATTCATAAATTATAATTACGAAATTGAACTCGAACCACGTCATTACTTTTACAATAATCATCAGGAACATGTATTTTCGGCAAACTGTTAGCCAAAATTTTGATAATCTTCGAGTTCACATTATCAAGTGCAGAGATGATGAAAAGTCGTAACGTGGCTTGATCGTTTTCACACATATCACCACTTTGTTTACTGATGACGTCATCAAACTTATTGCTACTTTACATCATAACTTGGACACGAGAGTAGATTTCAAAACGTTAGGTCGCGAAGGTAAATCCCTCAGGAATTGCATTAATTTAATCTGTATTAGGAAAAATATATGTTTGGTATTCTCCAACCAAGTTGGGCAGTTTTAATTCAGAATACTTCCAGTAACATACCTTTTACTTGTTTATCTTGTATATATTTACGCAGATCGATGTGTTTAGCTATGGCGTACTGGTATGTGAGATGTCCATTTGTCAGCTGCCTCATCCTGAACAAGTTAAAAGAAAAGGTCAAATGAGGAGGATTCTGAATGCTGGCATCAAAGGATTGGTGGAAGGTTGTACAGAGATAGACCCACAAAAAAGGCCAACAATGCAAGATGTTATTGAAATTTGGCAAAACAAAATAAGAGTTAACTAACCCTGCTATAGTGCTATAGTATTGTATAACTACTAAAACCTGCTTTACCATTTCGAGATATTGTATCATATTAAATAGAGTCTCTTCATTAGCCACGGCAATCGTGGTAAACGCTTTAGCATACTGTGTAAAGTAAAAGTCACAAATTTGGCCTTTCAAGTTCATGTTATACAACCCAAACTCCTCCCACCCATGATTTCAATGCTGTTCATTATCCGTGCTTTTGCTAATGGATATAACCCTTGTAGAATCCGACATATTTATAACCTATTTTATACCTATTTTTTCTCTATTTAGCCCTATTTTTTCCGTATTTTTTCAAAAATATGACTATTTTATTACTATTTATCAAATTTCATAAAATAGGATATGACTATTTACACTCTATTTGAAATATATGTTATTTATATTTTTCAAAAAAATAGCTTTTAAATAGGTATTCAAATCCTATTTGAAAGAGTATTTGAAGGAATCTCTCTATAAAATAGCTTTTAAATAGCTATTTAATTCCTATTGATGACAAACGAGTCAGTTAAAATAGTTTTAAATAGCTATTTTTAAACTATTTTTGCTTATCTTTTTGGAGCCATTCTTAACACATTTATATAAATAGCAAAATAAATAGATCTTAAATAGCTATTTAATTCCTATTCATAGAAAGTTGTGGCAAACTTTGGTTCAAAATAGCTATAAACTAGCTATTTTTAAACTATGTTTGCTTTTATTTTTGGAGCTATTATTGAGTATTGTTAAAATAGTTATTAAATAGGAAAATAAATAGATCTTAAATAGCTATTTAATTCCTATTCATAGAAAGTTGTGGCGAACTTTGTTCCAAATAGCTATTAAATAGCTATTTTTAAACTATGTTTGCTTTTATTTTTGGAGCTATTATTGAGTATTGTTAAAATAGTTACTAAATAGGAAAATAAATAGATCTTAAATAGCTATTTGATTTCTATTCATAGAAAGTTGTGGCGAAGTTTCTTCAAATGGCTATTATAAATAGCTATCTTTAAACTATGTTTACTTTTATTTTTAGAGCTATTGTTAAAATAGCTAATAAATAGCAAAATAATTCATCTTAAAAAGCTATTTATTTCCTATTCATAGAAAGGGGTTGTGAGAATTGAGGAAGGGTAAATGTATTTATTTAACTGGTCAAAAATTACCAGTTTGAGTTAATTTTAATTTTTTTATGATCGAGTTCATTGAAATTATATTTACAAAAATATTTATAGTCTTTGTGGAGGTAGGTATTTTGTCTCTTGACAAAACACCACCAAAAATTCTCACGAAGAGCGCGGTTTTGACAGACTCACAGACTGGTGCCTAATTTTCCAACAACGCGCGCAAAGCTTTCTGGGATAGCGTCACAATTCACACCACAATATTTAAAAATTTTTGGGTTTAAACTTTCCGCTCGAAATACTCAAATACAGAGCATTTATTGAGCGAAAGTAATACTTATTTAAAAGATTAAAGATCAGGAATGACTGGGCAACATCCAGGTAAGAATTTTGTTATGTTTTATTTATAAATAGAGCAATTTTGAAAGGAAATATTTACTATCTTCATTCGTGAATTTTGAGCACATGTTCCAGCTTAAAATTTCAATTTGCTTCGACAATATTTGAATTAAAACAACATTAGTTTCATAGAAAGCTTACATTTGACTCAGCCTTTATATTAAATGTTGTTTATTGTAATGCCAAATAGTATACTTTGACCTTTGTGTATAGTGTATATGACCGATTGCCAGATTCCAGTGTTTCTTGTATAAAATAATATAGCTTGGCATCTACTCAATTCTCATATGCCTACCCAGGCATGTCCCAGCTAAACATGGTTTGAGAAAATTTATCGACTGGTTTCAAATTAACTGGTACTTTCATAAGTTTCCAATATTTATTCATATATATAGGTGGGTCAGTTTAGAATAGATCAAAATATCAATTTGATGTGTTGTTGTCATTTGTGGCAACTTGATTATAGACATGTCCCTAACTGAAAACAGTTAAAGTCTTTAGTTTGCTTGTTCAAACTTATGAATACATTTAGTTACACCACATGTCTTCATGATCTGCTTAATAATATATGTAACAACCTTTGGGCTTCATTTTATATAGTTTAGAGACACCCCTGCAAGGGCTTGATTGTTTTTGGAATTACCCATTTCACTCCAATGAGCCCAATA